AGATAAGTGTTATCTTTAGAAAATCACTCAAGTAATGTGTCTTTGGCCAGTTACTTCGCTTGGATTTATAGTATGTATTCACTAGTCAGTATCGGTCTTAGTCTTTGGTGAGCAGTTAAGGAATGAGACTTTCCCTTTGCTAACAGCAACAAAATGCCCACTCAAACATAAATGGACACGGATGGTCAATGGATTATTCTGCCATTCATTTATATGTTCAATTCTGATGAAAATTATTAATAATTTTGCAATTAATCATGGAAGTATTAAACTAGTTCTTTACCAGTAGTCCTGTTTCAGATTTGAGCTGCACATTAAATTTCACGTAGCATTGATATTGAAGATGGTAGTAGTCTTCCCACATTCAACGAATAGCATAAGGTTGAATGGTTTGAGTTTTCCAGCCTTAAGCCTGGAGCACCTGATTTCTTCTGCTGTTGTGGTGTGTCTCCTGGGAGAAACATGTGTTTTGTCTGGTTCTCCATGGGTTGTTTCCAACAAACCTCTGGAACTGTATATTTATTTTCAAAAATGTGGTTTGTTCTGTAAGATAATGTACCTTTGGTGCTTTGGAAAGGTAAATGTAAAAAAATTAATATAAGCGACTGTTTTTTACTTCCTTTCTTAATCATTGAGCAGTCAGGTGTTTGTAAAAGTGACTGATGTATAGAAGGTTTTAAGAAAATAAACTACATTTTTGTAATCATTTTCTGATACGCATATACAGTACGATCGCCTTACAGTCAAAACTGAGTATATGAGCAGAATTCGTTCATCTGCAAGAATTATTTGTTTTTCACAAATGTGTAGCAACATTTTCTAGTTTGAAAAACATGTACAATTGCCACAGAAACAATCAGTGTAGTGGACCAAATGTGTGACCAACGTAGACTCCTGCTTTCTAATCTCATGCTGAAGTAGTTTAGCTTTTGTTCAGTAGCTGCTGAATAGCTTAATGGTACCTTCTGTACAGGCAGGTGTTGGTTGCAACAAGTGATATTCTACAAAGTACAAGTGCGGAGGTCTGCTAGAAGGCTCACAGTTCTCCAGTGGCTGGAGGATTGGTTTAGGCCAGATTTATTTGAACAGTAGCCCAAAGGAAAACTGGAACACTGCTCAAGCAATAAGAATAATTTGTACCAGTTTGCACTAGAAGTCTGACCCAGCAAAGTCTTGGCACTGCATACTGTAAAAGAGCTAATTTCACAAAACTCCCTGAACTAACTGCTGTGTCTTAGAGCTGGTTGAAAGTTACTTTTGTAAAAGAAAAAAAAAAAATCTTTCATGGAGGTAGGCATTTATCATCCCTCCACACAACCCTCGTGCTCTGCACTACTAATTTATTAATTACAGTTATCAGCATAACTGTCAAATAAGTAGATAGAAATAAAAAAAAAAGAAGTGGGATTTTGGCAGTTGTATAACACTTTATTAAAAATGTGCTCTCTCAAGTGTAATAGAGATGTTGTCATGCTAACTCTGTTGTATTACTAGTTATTATTCGTAATTAAATCTATAGTACTGCTTAATTTCTGTCCTTTCTTGTTTCATATTACAAGAAAACCAGTATAGCACGACCATGAAATAGATAAAGCCAAAATAATTCTCTCACACACACAAAAAAATAATCGTTTCATGTTCATTTCTGCTCCTCGCTGTTTCCTGAAATCAGGATCCTTGCTAAGGGCTCCTCCAACCATCTTCCATGAAAGCAGGTGCAGAGGAGGGAGAAGGTGGGATAAGGAAAATAAGACCCTTATGAAGAAGAACTTCACTCTGTACTTATACATGATATAGCAGGAAT